AAAAAAAAAAAAAAAAAAAAAGTCCTTGCAGGCAGGTGATGGAGGAGACAAGGTGTCCCGGAAAGGGGGCGGCCATGACGGGCTGTGGCGGGAAGCGGCCTCGCGGCGGCCCGCGGGTGGCTGCGGTCGGTGAGGAGGCCTGGGCCAGCCCCGCCGTCACCTGAGGCGCGGGCAGGGCGGCCTGGCCCGGTGTGGGAAGGCGAGAGGGGCTGTGGGAGCCGCCCGCCTCACCCAGAGCCCAGGGCGGTCTGTGAGGAGCGCGAGGAGCCGTCAAGCTGCCGCGGCCTCTCGCTCCTGGTCTGTAAAGCCACTGAGGGGCTGGCGGGCACTGCTCACCCAGAACCGGACGCTGTTCTTTTTCTAAGAAGCTGATTCATTTTATGGGTGGGTAAAGGTGAGCAGTTATTGTGAAGTATGAATTTGTCCATACTTGTTGAAGAAAAGTTTAGTTGTCACCGGGTTCTCTCACGTAGATAGCAGAGCGATCAGGGATGCAGCAGAAAATAGTTGACTCAACAAAATCCTCAAAGAATTAGGTGGATGGTCTCTGAAAGGATGGCTAGCCACGTTGTTGGATGATTTGTGTGGTTATAATTATAGAAATTCTAAGAATGTGTAGGTTGTATTAATAATTGAGAAAAATATTTGGAAGTCGTATGAAAACCTCACTCTTCACTACCAAATTTGACATGGTTGAAAAACCTGTTTATAATGATCATAGGGATGATCTGTTTCTGTGTTTTAGTGCGTATCATGATTTACTGTTGTAACTCTTGTTAGGATCAAACATGGAAATACATATGGAGTGAGACTTACAGGATATTATATTATCCTACAAGTCTCAAAGGGGGAAAATGTAAGCCAAAACATCTTGCTAACATTTTTTTTGTTGTTGTGCTTTTTCGCCTTGATAAGCATTTTTTTTTTACTGAGAATAAATTAGGTCAGTGTCAATGTAACTTCTGGTATGTGCAGACACAGCTGAAGGTTGTCGCTTTCATGAAGAAGAAATGTTTGAAGATAAGACAGTAATAAATAAGACAGTTGGGGCCTATTCTTGAAGATAACAGGAACAAGGATGGGACAAGTGAAAACAAACCAGCTCAAGACACAGCACAGCTGCACACACCTCCTAAACAGACCTTTGTGAGTGTGCACGAGCATTGAGGTCAACCAGCAGACACGGTGAGGAAGACTACCAACAACTACCAGGTACCCCTCAGACCACGACCCAGCAAGAAAGCGCACGTGTAATTAGGGTGCAGATGTTGTCATTACTCCCAGGATGTAACGCATTTCTTAGAAAAGTTATGAACACGCGTGGTCTCACTGTATGTTAGCTGCTGCTTATAGATCTGGGGCATGCTCACCTATGCAAAGCTGTTTGTGTGGGTGCCCAGTGCTGCATTGAAGAATGCCTGCTTTCTAAAACCCCAAAACGAGTCTGAGAGAGTTCCTCTGCCACCTTTTACAGTAGCAGCGTGACGGCAGCTTTAAGCGGTGTATGTGTGGAGAGCTTGCTGGGTTCCCTGAAGGTGCACGGCCTGGGTCTGTAGGGAAGGCAAGAGCTGGTTCCGAGCACTGGTTTCTGTTTGAGAAGCGAGGAGAGCTCTTCCAGACCTGTTTGTGCCTCTCTTTGCTGGTTTGGACTCTGCCAGGCAACCCTGCTCTCTTCCCTTGTGTGGATGTCCTGTAGTTCAGTGCATATCTGTCTTCAATATTTATTTTGGCTTTTGTTTTGTTTTCCTTTAAAATTTGAGTTTAAGGTTGGAAATAGAAGGGAATATGTTTCCTTTGACATGCCCAATCCACCTCCACTATACATGTAGGATTAGGGGGGAGAGCTGTGGGTTTTTTAACTGTCCAGTACTTGGGCCTAGCTGTTTCATCTGCTCAAGTATCTATTTACTTTTCAACTTTTATAATTGCTTTGCAGAGCATTGATAGAGACATATAAATAGATTTTTTTTTAACCATTATGATAGGATTTGGTAGCTGAGGTTTAACGATGAAGTTTGTATAAAAGCCAGACTGTAATTGCCAGATCATCCCTAGGGGAGCAATAACATGTACTGGTTAGAAAATGAGATTTCAGATTAAGTTCATAATGTAAAATGATTAAGTTAGGTTGATATAAAGAAGCTTCTAGAAAAATTTACTTGACTACTCAGTCCTATAGGGCAAGGGGAGGCTGGATGTATTAGAATTTTGCTAAAGCATAATCCAGTGGACTGTGTGTACTCATGGGAGTTGTGCGTGTCAGTGATGCGTTATTATTATTTTCAAGTACTACTCTTGGAATAACGCTTTTAATTTCTGCTGTTTTATGTGGATATAATTGTGATGAGTGTTCAGCAGATCTGAAGGTGGATAGCATACTTATGGCAGCTTTGTGAAAGGCTTTAAGGCAGTATTTTTCTACAACATGCGCTGAAAATGTCCCAGAGTTAAGAGAATGAGCTTCATTAAATTCTGTAGCATTACTTGAGAGAAAATGTTACTTATTTTGCCCTTCAGCAAGGAGACCAGCATCCATTGTCCATATGGCATCCAGTTGACCATATTGTCAATGTAAAGCTGTGAAAAAAGGCAAAGTTAGCCCCTGGCATTACCTTTCTGTGAGGTTTTGAATACTGTCTTTAACTTTGAATACTAACTATCACATTAGTCTCTCAAAGAATTCCCTGGATAACAGTAAATTAAGTTTACTTCCATGTTGATTGTTTTTCTGGTGGAGTTGGCTATTGACTTTGGGCTAATATGATGTTTATTTGTTCAGCATGTGTACGTTTTATAGAGTAAGATCTGTGCAAGCTTGGAGTTCCCTTTTTATTAGTTTTACAGATTTCCTGTGTTGAATTAATGTGGTTGTACATGTGAGAAGAACTGAATTAATTTAGTAGAGAGTAATGAACAGAAGTCATCTGGCCAAAACAAGTCTGAGGGGGAGATGTGTATCACTTGCTGCTGTGACAATATTTTGCCTCAAGCTAGCAGGTGGAAGAGAATTAAAGCCAAATTGAGCTTTCATTCTCAAGGTCAGTTCTTTGACTTGAGAATGAAAACAGTGAGAGATAGCATTCTGTAGCAAAGCTGTGAAGGCTTCACACTCTATCTGCCCTATCATAGGCTTCCAGGGAAATCTGCATGTTTCAGCAATTACAAACCTTATTCCCAGTGCCAGTTTCTCATCCTGGGAGGTTCTCCATTCTAGAAGAGCGTCTGCTACAGTAGATTCTGCAGAAGGTTTGCTAGAAATCACCACAGACTGACAGTTATGTCTGGAGATGAATTAAATCAAGTGTTTCTGTTTTGTCTGCAAAAAGGTTTTACTGATATAGCTAGATCATCATGGAATAACGTATTTTTACACTCCTACTCAAAATAGCTGTGGTAGCAAGTCTGCTGTTTATTGTAACTACTTGGTATTTCATTGTGAGAAGATTGTTTTTCTAGAGGACAAGTAAGAGTAGAAGAGGAAAGGATCTCTTCCATAGGTTATTTACAGTACCTTTAAATTTCTTGCAGTGATATTCAGGTTGTGAATGAGAATTTTAACATAGTGAATGGTTTTCAATGAACTGCAAATTGCAGGTGAAAGGAAATTTTGGGTACCCAGTTTGATTAACCTAGCAGCTCCCAAATCTCACAAAGATGAAATATTTTTAAATAGTAGATCTTCCTCCTGACTCTTCTCCCTGTGCCCCCCTCCACCCAAAAAAAAAAAAAAAATTTGATGAGACACTGAAAACTTGGGTTACTAATGCAT